AATGCATCGGGCTGGCCTAGCATCCCCAGGAGTCATCAGTGGCGGGAAACAGTTAACAGCTCCCACCCTCTGGGCTCACACCGGCTCTTTGGTGGCACATCCAGGGCTACCAATGTGGTTAGGGCTGAGTCCTCAGGGCTAGTGATGAAAAATCCCCTTGGGCAGGCAGAAAATAGGTTATTTTCAAGGTGGAGTTTTTGAGATGCAACACCAGCATGATGGGCTGAAGGCTGGGGGAAGAGCTTTACTGCAGCTTGCACTGCAGAATAGTCATGGGTTGGGACACGTGCACTGGGTTATGCTCATAAATATATTAAAGGTCTCTTAGCACTACTGTTTAGCCTTAGGAGCTCGAGATGCTTTAGAGATGCCTTTGCAGGGTGCAACATGGAGTCCCATAAATAAGTGATTTCAGTCACAAATATTTCAGCTGCGGTACTTTTCAGTGTGCTCTTTATACAAGGAGATTCATTAGATTTAATGAACAAACATTTTACATACATTAGTCATGCTTTTTCTTTTAGCATGCATATTCATTTTCTCTTTCAGTGATTGAAGCAATAATTATGGTGTAGCACCATTTAATAAGGAAATACAAAAAATGTAATGGTTCATCAGACTATCTTAATGTATCAATGTGCTACGACACATATAATATGAAGGTTGTACTTTCCATGTGAAGATTGCAAATTGCTCTTCAAATACGAATTTATTGCGTCTTAGAAAGCTTTTTTGAGGTGGAAGGTAATAGCTTACCTCTTTCTAGCTGAGACTCATTCAGGTGGCCTGAATTTACATAATTTACTAAAGAAAAGACAATAAATCTATTACCAAGACAGGAACCAGACATTGTGGCTTCCATGTTTATACTTCAGCTTACAGAAAATACTCACTGTTAAAGTGATAGAATTTCTTTTCAGTGCTTCTGCCTGATTTATATCAGAGCCTGTAGCATGAGTAGTCTTGTGACTTCTCACATTTTATATCAAGGAATCATTAAAAGCTCATGTCAGCCACAGGATTTTAAGGGCTGTGCGCTGGGGATTGAATTCCTGTGAAGGACACCAAAATGATGTGATGACATCAGGAAAACTGTAGTTACAGAAGAACTGTATTTTCCTTTACTCTGCAAACTGCATTCTCTGTCACATACAACAGAAAAGGAGTGATAACTGCCCCTTTCAACCACTGCAAAGCCCTTCCTAACTCTCCCTTTTCACGGAATATCTAGAAAGAAAGAAAGGATTAAGTTATCCTGCAGTAGATTATCTTCTTTGCTGTGAGGTTTTCCCTGTTTGCCATTGAATGTGAAACTCTGATTTCAGTAATTTTTATGTTGTCTAGGACAAAACCAATGCAGCTGAGATACGGTTCTTTTACTCATTCTGATAAAATTCCACCATAATCATCTCACCTGAAACTTTGTAAAGAAATTGATGATCAGCTCTAATTCTTACCGCATCTCTTTTATTTGCACTGAACTTCTCTTTCTAGCTTCAAGTTTTACAACTTAGAGGTGGATCCTTGTCTACGCCTGTGTTTATAGAAACCTTACAAAGGGAATTCACTGTTATTCAACAACAGCAAGCCCTGTCAGTTTTAGAACTATAAATATTTATTTTCACAAGGTTTAAATAATGCTAAATGTAGCACTGTGGGGTATTTACAACATCCAGCTTTTAACACTCAAGATGCTCTCAGCTGTCCAGCTGTTTTAAGAGATTTCAGGAACACTTTAGGGCAGGGCTTACTGCAGTACTGGGAATCATTTTTGGCAAGAGCCTCTCTTCAATTTGCTATGGCCTAGGTAATTTAGTACTTAGCTCCTGTTGTCTCTCTTCTGCTGCTCTCCAGACTACATAACTGTCTTAGTATCAAAACTCAAAAATTACTAATTACTTACCTTAAGGTTATTAGTTCTTAATGACCCTATAAAATTAAGAGAGAATAATTTCTTCACAGTCATTCTGTGTGTACAGATTTTGTTCAGGACAGAGTTAATTTTCTTCCTAGTAGCTGGTATGGGGCTATGTTTTGGATTTGTGATGAAAACAGTGTTGATCACATGGGGATGTTTTAGTTTCTGCTGAGCAGTGCTTACACAGCATCAAGGCCTTTTCTGCTCCTCAAAGCGTCCCACTGAGTTGGCTGGGGGTGCACAAGAAGTTGAGGGGGACATCGCTAGGACAGCTGACCAGAGGGATATTCCATACCATATGATCTCATGCTCAGCAGTAAAAATGGATCAGGGTGGAGGCTGGCAGGGGCTGCCGTTGCTGTGGGACAGGCTGGGCATCAGTCAGTTGGCGGTGAGCAATTGTTTTCTTTTGCATCATTGTTTTTTTCTTGGGTTTGGTGTCATTTGTGTCTGTCGTGTCATCATCCCCCCCCCGTTGCTTCCCCCCTGCCTCCTTTTAAACTGTTATTGAACTGTTTTTATCCCCACCCACGAATTTATGCACTTTTACCCTTCTGATTCCCAACCCCCCCTATCTCCCTGGGGAGGAGTGGGCAAGTGGCTAGGTGGTGTTTAGCTGCCTACTGGGGTTAAACCACAACACTATAACTCCTAGAGCAATGGCCAAAATTGTCCAAAAATCAGTCACATTGCTTTTTACATAATTTTTTGTTTGGAATTTCATAAATCCACCCTGTATGTTTGTTTTCAAGTGAAAAATCAAGCCCATATTTCATGCTCTGATCTTCTAATTTTCAGTAATTGCAAATAATTGACTTCAGATTAGCTGACAATAATTTATAGAACGTCAGCATGCGGTAGAGAAGAAAATGCTGTTTACTTTGTACATTAATAGATACAGAATTAAATAAGGTTCATATATTCGTTGAGTTGTGCCTTGCTTTCACAATATATTCAAATTAGTGCTCAGTAAACACAAGTTTTACATGCTTTTATGCTACATTCCAAAATCTCGGGTAAGTTATTCTGTAAGTTACGTCTCTGCAACCCCACTGAGATTAATAGCCTATCTCATTTAAAGAAGTCATAACAGCTAGCAGGGTTCCCTACTGCAAATGCTTAGCTTTAGACTGCCAGGTGCTGTTAAGCAGTTGTTGCTGCAATTTATGCTAGAGCTATTTATATTTATCTAGTAACTAATTACTCATAACTTGACAGATAAATACATCATATGCAATCAATAAATAATAAAGCCAAGCCAATCTTCAGGATATATTTTGTTATGTGAAGGTAGAAGACCATACTCACATGAAAGATTCAGGTTGAATTTTACATATTAAGTCAGGTTTTGGAGCTGATGATAGTTGTTCAGGTGTTCTGTTGAGGCATCAGGCAGTCATGCACAAGAGAACACGTTTGGGCAACTAAAACTAAGGCTCCTTCAATTATCAGGTAGCGAAAAATAACGGGCAGATGGACCCACAATTAGGACTCAGTGGCTAAGATGACACAAGACCTTCGAAAGATGCAGAAAAGTAGATGTATGGAAAACAGGGAAGGCATCTAGCAAGGAATGCTTCATTCAGGGTAAGGAGGACAACGTCATCATAGGATCTGCTGCAGTACCCTGGGATGGAGCTTTGCAGCCACGCTGCCATTGAGTGGCCAGACACCCGTATCAAGAGGCTACCTATGCCGTCTCCTTTGCCATCCCAGTGAACATGACACTGTGAGGGTCCTGCCACATCTTGACCCTTGATACCTATCAAATACAGAACAGGAAATTGTATCCAAGCTTACCTAAACCTGCCTTTTCCATCCTTTCCTTTTTCCTTTCCCCTCCTTTCCTTTCCTGTATACATGGACCACTCACAACTCCTCTTGTCATTAACTTTGCCACCTGAAGCCACTGATAGGCAGCCAAAGTAACTCAGCCTTTTGAAGTTGTCTCTAGCTGAGAAAAACTCCACAAGGAGGATTCTTCAAAACTGTCTCAGCAGTGCTAAATCTGCCTGACGAAAAAGCATAGTAAGACTACAGGGCATAATGAGTCTTTTCCTAAATTCCGGTATTTATTTTGTATTATTTATTTATTTATTTATTGCCAGGATAGGTCAGGTCCTTGGACCTTACTATCTGAGAGAAGAAAGTGTTCTGATAGGCAGAGATGATTTTTCTTTATTTTTTATTTTCATCTCTTTTTTTGTTTATATTGAGTTCTCTTTTACAACAGTGTATTTCCATGGTTGGAAGAAGGAGGTTCCTTTAAAATGCATTCAAAATGAGATGGTACAGAAATAAATTTCTCTCTTCTATCTTCTCCTGAGCATTGATGTGCAGCATCCTTTTGCCAAAAAGAAATAAATGGAATTGTCTAATCTCGAATGACTGTGCAGAACTCAGTAAATGCATATATGGATGGTCACATGGTTCTTGAACAAACCTAATGTAAGTGACAAAACTTTTCTGCTGAAATTGCCAGTGCTCCTGGGTCTAGATTTCAGCACTTCAGCAGAGAACTTAATCTCTTGAGTTTCCTTCCAGCCCAAATGTCATTTCTGAAGAGTACCTTGATTAAACCTCTGTATGAGATATTGATAAAGTCACACAACTCAAATATAAAACTCTCAATCAGGTGGAAGCCGTTGTAGCCAGCAGGAGGTAACATCACCTGCAGGGGTTCATGCTGTGCTACCTGAAACAGCACCTTCTTTCAGCTTATGTTCTTCAGCCTTAGATAATAGAAATAAGGTTGGTGCCTAGGGAAACATTTATTTTAGAAACCTCTGTAAACCTTCAATTGTACTGAATGAAGAAGGAATTTCAAACTTCAATAATGTGACCTTTTTGCTTTAATATTCTTATACAATGCAGCAGAACCCTCCTGTGAAATGCAAGGCTATATTTCATAGCTAAATATTGCTAAATACGGACTATACAGTACCCCAGAAGTGCTTTTTGTTGATTTTTTTTTCAGTCTCTTAAAGCAATATTCAGTTCAACATCTCAGTCATTTTAGATTGAGTCAGATTAGCTCTACAATAGGAGATATCAATGAAATACACATCCAGTGCTCAGTTAATCAGACCTCAAAGACATTTTCTGTAAAGCAAGAAGGGCATAAACATGGTCAGAGGAAATCTCTTATCCTTACAGTTGGCATTGTTTGGGGGAGCAGAGGAAAAGACACTTGGCAGGATTGCCATTCATCACTTCATATTCCTGTTTGAAACATACAACGAGCTCACTGTTTCACAAGGAGAAAAAGTCAGTTATTAACTCAAGCAGTTTCTATTCAGGAAGAGATTATGGAGAGTAGCAGCCAGTCTGCCAATATAATTTTTGCAAGGTATTTTCTAGTGCCCATCTCTTTTTCACTGACAAGTGTAAAGCAGGCATAGAAAATTCTGTTTCATGACATGCAGTAGGAGACAGTTTCCACCTGAAGTAAGGCTGGTTGTGTCTGCAGCTATTATGAAAGCTCAGAACAGGCACATTGATTGCTGGGATCAAGCAGATCTGTTGCCCATGACTGGCGCAATGCTCGGAGGCAGAGTAATGAAGCACTGTGTTCTGGCTGATATGTACTGTTCTTTCTCTGTCTGCTGCCATTACACAAGCAGTAATGAAAAATTTCTTGACACAAACAACAATATGATGTGTTCTCTGCATGCTCCAGCTTTGCGAGAGGGGAATGCACAGCTGGAAATAGCATGTGGGACAAAATGGCGTGGAAAAGGGTGGGTGGAATTAATAGATAGGTAAAACATTGTATTTGGATCACTGAAACAGCCTATATTTGAAATCAGGTTTGTAGAAAGCTATGACATTTCTGTGATATGCATCGCTTCTTTTATGGTTATTTTTTCATAGGTGTGGCCATTAAAGGGGAAATATCTTCAGCCTGGGGCTATGACTGACTTTCTTGGCCATGTGCCTCTCTCCTGATTTTAAGATGATCTGAGACCAATATCACTGCGTACATTTACTTCACTTCCTTTTTATGAATAAATCATTCAAAAAGGTGGCCAGAAAGAAACACACAAACATTTATTATTTTTAAACCTGGTGCTGTTGTCTATATGAGGCAGCCCGCAGCTGCTTGTGTTCCCTGGTCTATACATGTAGCCCCCAGCCATGGCCTGCCTGCACACCTCTGCAGGCAATGATCCCACTCTCCCTGGATCACTGGAGACTCAGGACCTCTGAAGAGAGGCCATGGGACCACAAAAAGCCCAAGTAGTGACTCCTCAGCCTTGGCAATCTTGCAACCTGTGTTGGATCCAGAGCCTTCTCACTGCCATCAGCAGAGGAGCAGAAGGTAATGCATCCCGGCTCCCTTACCAGGGCTTCAGGTGCCAATGGATGGTATCTGAGCTGCTTAGCATGGTTGGGCAAAATGGATTGGGAAATTGGCAGTGATGTGGAGATGAAGGTAACTGCCCAGGCTTGGCTGCATCTCTCCTGATAAACTGTTCTTTCCGGCTCCTGACCGTGCCCATATGGGTCACTGTCTTGTTGTAGAGCTTGTTGATACTTTAGTGAGAGTCTCAGCAAATCAAGGAAGCTGGAAAAACAGACTTTTGCTTTCAGTTTTTCCTGATTAAACTCTTTTTCTGAAGCCTTTTAAGCAAAGTAGAGCTGAGGAGACAAGTTCCCCAATAATCAGATTCCCCAGGGACTAAACCTGAGAATTAAACACATGGATTAGTGAAACAGGCTGCTAGGATAGACACTAGAAATCATTATGACTGGAGATTTTTTGTTTGGTTGTTATTTTCCTCAGAAGACTCTGGTGGAAAGAAAGTCTGCCTGGAAAACACAGAAAAATCTTCAGTGGGTGGGACTGCAGCTATTGCCTGAAAATACTAGATCTAGTCTAACAAGTAGGACGAATTACCACAATAGTAGATCTGTAAAGTTTGACAGAAAAGATATATGAATAATTTTTTTTTTTCACTAAAAATAACACAGTATTTGCATCTGGGACACGGGCTAGGCATGTAGCACATGCATATAGTAGTTTCCTTATCAAGAAACCAAACTTACTTTGAAGATGCACAGCATATAAAAAGTCATATCTCATCTATTGCTCAACAACAAAAAGGGCAAAAATTAGGAGCTCACCTTTTGCGCCCTGCGTTTGTCTGCTCGTTGATTCTGGTGGTAGATACGGCTGAAGTTGGAGACAATTACAGGAACTGGCAGAGCGATGACTAAGACCCCACTCAGGGAACATATTGAACCAAAAATCTTGCCAGCTATTGTCTTCGGCACCATGTCACCATACCTGGGGTTAAAGAAAACAAAACACTTAGTAAAGACAAAATCTCTTATAAGTATTGAATTTCAAGATGAATTAATGGCACAATAGATTTTACTTCTCTTACAAATAATAATCGCTGCATATAAATAATACTTTACACACATATGCATACATATACAGCTTGCTCAGTGTTGTGCACACATAATTTTAATTTCAAGGTAATGTTGGGTATCCTGTGTATCAAACTGTAGGCATCTATGTTTTACCTGCTCTGCTCTTCCCAGGCTGCTGCTATTGCTATGGAGACAGAATGACCTTGCTAAGGAAAAAAATCAGTGTTGAAATTAAGACCTTACCCTGTTTGCTTGTTGGAAGAATTCATCACTTTCCATTGGCAAGATCCTAGGGAGACCACTTGGTAAGTTAGATGCCAAGCTGAATAATCCATTGTCTTGCTAAGTTGATATAGTACTTTCATTTAGGAGGGTAGCACATTTTTGGAACAGGTTGCCCAGGAGATAGTGGACTTTCTATCTTTGGAGATTTTCAGCACTTGTCTAGACAAAAGTAAGGCTGACCTAAGCTATTGTTGATAGGCTGCCTTTGAGTGGGAGGCTGGACTAGCTGAGCTCCAGAGGTCCCTTCTATGGTCTAGCCAAAAGCAAACTCGAAAAACTCAAGCCACAAGCAAGCAACCAACAAAATTCTAACTGCAAATCCTGGCAGTGCTCAGAATTACTAGGGCTGCTACCTTTCTTTATGATGCTGGATATTGTTTTGTCCAGCGAGTAAGAATATAGTGCTGCTGAAGTACGTAGAGGGACTCCAGTGACAGCTTATTAAGAGATATCAACTCTTTGCACTCTGTAGACTGCCATATTCTATAGACATGTATGAGTATGCAATTACACACTATGGAGGTTAATAAAGAGATAAAATACCTTCTAGAACCATTCTATTTTCAACTTTATTGGATTTTAAGTTATTATTAAACATTGATTGCAGCACGTGAGTTTAGTATGCTTGTGAGCAGACAGATAGCACATTCCTTATTGCAAAGAATTTATAAACCGTTAACACAAGAAAAGGTAGGATTGTTTGGAAAATGCTGTTTGGAAAACAAAATCTGCCTTTCAGCAGGGACTGGAAAAATAGTAGAGAAGATGGGGGAGTCTTCAAGGGACATGGTCCAAATTGTACACCAAATCATGAGAAGGAGGGGACAAAGGGATGAGGATATCAGATGACAGAGAATCGATACGGGGTTAGAGAACACCTTCTAGCAATGAATGTTCAGCATATGTCAAAAGGAGATCACATATTGCCTTGTAGGTGAAGATGAATGGTTTGCATTTTGTAAGATAAGAGGAAGGTGTTTAATGTAAATATGCACATAAGTTGTCATCCAGGCGGACGTAAAATAGATGACCAAGTCTTAGTCTATTGACAAAGATTATGTTGTGTAAAATAAATGTTTAGTTGCTTTACAAAGCATGCCCATGTGTAAAATAGTCACAGGAAAAAAAAACATTAATACTTCTACCAATAACCCCCTCACCTGTTCAGAATTTGAATGCTATTAGTTTCTGATATTGTGACACGCAAGATTGGATAAAAATACATAATGTAATAGAATCCATCTTCTAAATTATTAATATATCTGGTCTTAACTACAAGATATATAAAACTGGAAAAATACTAGAAAGAGAGAAATGCTTTCCTTCACATCAACATTTGCACTTCACAACATAGGCATTTTTGGTGCTTATCTTCCTAAAGCCAGAGCTATCAGCTGTCAGGAATGATGCATGCCCAGCTGTTCTGTTCTTTGGGCAGCACAGTGGATAAATGACCTTCCAAGGTCCCTTTGACAAATGGGATCCCCAACACATAAGTAACCCTAGGTTTTTTTCAGGCAGAGTGGTGAGGTGAGAAGTGGGCATGGGGCCAGGGTGATGAGCTTAGGGGAGAAGTCCTAGGATCAAATCATTGATAATCGTTGCTGGTTTACAGAATTCATTACTGTTTTACTTCATCCTTTTAGATGTGATCCAAGCACGTTCTTTAATTGAATCAAAGTGTATCAACAGAAAGCTGTTTAAAAGGCAATATATAAATATAACACACCTGACACAACCAGGTCTTGAAATGCAAAATTTACACATGCCCAGCACTACTGGACAGATCTCTTAAATTAGATTCCTGAACCTATATTTAGATGCCTACCACTTGAAATGCTAAATTGCTGAACCTTCATAAGCTCACATTGTCACCGATGGCTGCTGTAGAAGAAGGCATTTCTGGCTTTAATTAATTTGGTTTGAAGTTGCTCAGGGATATAGTTCATTCTGTTGATAATGTGACACCGTAACGATGTGAATCAAGTGCAGACTGATGCTTTAGGAATGGTGACAGGAACTATTAGCTGATCCGTCCCTAACATTTCAGTATTTATGAGTGGATCTAGCTATTGACATAAGGACGTGCCTTTTCACAGTATTTCAGTGTCACAAAGTGATATAAAGAATTAGGATTGTTTGATACCTGAAGGTATTTTGCAATGTTTTTCTTACCTTCCTGGAAAAATGACAGGTAGATGGATATACTGCTTATTTTAAAATAACTTGCTTTTGATTATTTTTCTATTTCAGCTTGAATAAGTTTTAGTATGGTGACATTTTCCAAATGTAACATTGTTGTCCACTGTTTAGTGCTAATAATATCTTTCACATCATTAATAACTCTTACATAATTAGTTTTTCTCCTGTTGATAAACCCTGTGTTGGAGACACAATTGTGTTTAAATAAAATGACAGTCAGAAAAAAAGACTTCCAAGAAATTAGCCTTCCTGCACAGGGTGAGAAACATATTTGCTCACTTTTGTGACAAAATGGAGTTTTTGCTACATTTACCCTGGTTAGCCTTGCTCTCCTTGGGGACAGTGACACAGATTTTAGTCTAGTGTAGGCATGACCAGAATTGTTAATGAAGTTCCTCCTGCTGGATTAAACATTACCTTTAGTTATACCTGCTTTATCGCTGAACACCACCAATGGAAGCCAATGACATAAAATGAAGAGAAAATTTCTTCCTTTACCCACACCTGCAATTGCTTTATTGCTTGGAAAGTCTAAACTAAAAAAGGACATAACTCCATTTTCAGATGGCAGCGTAGCTTTGTGGCACTTATATTTCAAAGTGGAAAAATTATACTTGATCTCTAAACCAAATTCTAAATTCTACAGAAAATCTGATCTCTTCAGTCATGGAGACAACAGATAGGGAATCTTATTAAGCAATTTTCACAGAGTCACTTTTCAAAAGGGAACTATTTCAAGGTTTTATCTAGTGCTACCCTGCTTGTCTCACTGCTCTTCAGACTGTAACTGCAAACATATTCTCCTTTACTTGCTTCTTTTTCCTAGTTCCTGTCTTTTTATAGCTTTCTATATAGTCTGTTCCACATATGTCTATTATTGTGGCCACAGCTCAAGTCAGTCTTTGGGCATTTATGATTTGTACTGACAATCAAATTTTCTAATGCCAAAATGTCATCCCAATATTGTATGCTCTGGGTGAGTGAAGAAAAAGAGATGTCGTACTGATCCCTGTTATCAATCAGGTGCATTCTACTTCATTAGCCAAAAAGGGAAGGGAAAAGGCTATGACAAACTAGATGTGACAATCAAGTTGTATCAAATCACAAGTCAGAAACTACATGATCAAACTAATGCTTAGGTTTCACTAGATGTAGCCCAGACAGGTCAGACATGTGCTATTGCTTGCAGCCTGTGGGTATCTGTTCACTAAATGACATCGTGCAGGGATGGATGGATTTAAAGGCAGATATGTTTGTCTCAGTTGTTTATATTCAACAGGTGACAGACCACTTTTGCATATTTGACTCCTTACTGCAAGGCAAGACAGCAAGCCAGTGGATTCCTTCATTTTGCAAATACTGGGTCTTTCAGAGTACTGATCTGAGTAACACGGGTATGATTTAGCACTTTCTGTAACGGATTTGGGGGCACGAAATGTAGCTTGAATCACACACAGCAGGCTGAACTGTTGTAGGAGCTTGGGAAACATGAACGTATTTGGGTTTACAAATGCCCAATCTGTCATCTAAGTATCGCCATGTCAGAGATTACCTGTGGACACCCATCTGCCAAAACGATACTGCTTTTCTAACTGATCAGTGGCGTATATCTGATGTTGCATCCCCATAAATCAAGAAATCTCAGGCAACAGAGGCTGTATTTGTGGCATCATCAGCTATTTATCTTATTCCTGAATCTAATGAAGATTGGTTTTGATGACTCTAAGACGGAATATTTCATAAGTCAAAGGTCTGAATTATAATTGGCCATTTTTCCTTGATGTAAGCAGAGAAGGTCTTTTCTTTATAATCTTAACAAATGAGAAGGACAATGACACTTATTTAATTTCTGTTTGTTTGAACATAGGAGTAATTTTTTTCAAGCAAAAAATGTATGTATTTTGGAAGATAAAATAAGTAATCACAGAAATTGTGATTTAGCAATATTTTTGTGTGTGAGATCAGAAATTCATATTTGGAATTGCTTATTTTGCATAGAAACAGCCCCCCAGGTGACCTCTACACCAAAACTGTGAAGCTGTAGGGCATATATGGCAGGAATCAATCCAGGATGTGCATTTTTACAAAGATCAAATAGTTGAGGCTGATACTGACAGATAGAGTTAAGGAAAAAAGTGTGGATATTGAAAAAAACCTACCTGCAATAACGTTTACTGACACTAGAGGGCATAAACGCCATTAAAAATAAATGCAAATGCAAAAACATTTTAAAATGCGTGTTACAAATACATGTGCCCTCTCCCACCTCCTTCGAATTCATTTACGCTCTTTAAAAAAAATCACATTGATTGAGGTCTGTTTTCTGCTCCTATCTTGTTTGCTGAAAAGGAAAGCCAGTAACATTTTTGTTTTCAAACATGTAGAACATGTCAGAAAATAATGGAGTTGAAAAAGAAAT